GGAAGATATTTTGACTCAAAAATCTGCATACAACTCCCTCTGGATTTCCTAACACCCATGCTCCCAAGAAGATGAGAAGTGGGGTACTATTTGGGACCTTAATTCTTCGCCTAAGGTCAAAATGGTCATGTGGCTGACTATGTGGGAAAGACTTCCTACTTACTTCCTCCTATCTTGCTACTAGGAACATCATATATATTCTCAGCTTTTTGCTCCTTCTATCCAGGGGTGGAAGAGTCAATTTTACATGTCCTTAGGGACTGTCCTGGGGTAGCTGAAATATGGAACCTTCAACCTCTCCTATCTCCTTTAGTGGACTCTGTCCCTCGATGGATGTGTGATAACCTGGGTAGTTGTTCAACTGACAATCCTATGGGAAAACCTTGGAATGAGATTTTTGCTGTCATGTGTTGGAGAATATGAATTAGAAGGAACATATGGGTATTTTAGAAGGAGAATATAGTCATCCAATCCTGGTGGAAATCACCACCTGGATAATTAAGGAAAACTCCCTTCTTTCCCAGTCCCAATATATGGTCCCTAAGTTTAATCTACCCTCCTTTATCTCCATTGTAGCTCCCAAGTGATGATCCAAACTGATGCTTCCTTTTCCTCATCCACCCTGTCTGCTGGCATTGGTTGTGTTTGCAGAGATTCTCAAGGGGTTTGGTGTGATGGCATGCCTATGCATGTCCCTTGTACTTCTGCTGTGTGGGGAAGCCTTTGCTGTTTTGTTCTCCCTGAAGTGGGTTATGTCCAAAGGCTATACTGAGGGTCTGCTGCTCTCAGATTGTGAGAGGGTGGTCCAAGGGGTTACACTTCAGGATAAGGTATGGGATAAGCTTACTAACATATATAATGGATGCAGGAACTCCTCCAACAACTTCAGAGGCTATCCTTAAAGCAAGGGAAGCGGGTCCAAGTTCAAGAGGCTGATGCTGTGGCAAGAGGAGCTAGACAGAAGTTGGTTATTTCAACTGACTTTTGTTGGATTGTCCCGAAGGAAAGTAGGGAAGAGCTTCTGTCTAGGCTAGGAAATTTTACCTTTGCTTATAGTAGCAATATTCTCTAGTATTTTGTACATGAAACTGCTAATTCCTAGCTTAACTTGTAAGAATTATTTTGTCAAAGGCCTGGCCTTTGAGAACTCCTGTATTCATGGAGATGTGATATATAATGACTAAATGAACGCCTTTTAACAAAAAAAAAAAAAAGATAAAAAAAAAAAATAAAAAAATGAACCAAATATGAAGAGACATAAAAGAAATTTGATTTTGGGAGAAACCTGATGAAACGAGATAATAAGCCATCAATAATACAACCACAATTAATTAGGTAATTTAATAATTTGACATTACATGTATGTTTTCAACACTTGAAACATCTTTACTACTCCCTCCGCTTATAATACATCTTCATTTTTCTTGTTGGTAGTATGCCGATACTAATATTTGATCAATAATATCTTTAATTATTAACAAATAGAAATTCTAATAGGTTGTGACGATTTCAACAAGTATTTATAAGATTATATTTTTTTCTTATTTATAAATCACAAAAATTTTAGTCAAAGTTGGAAGAATAAATATTACAAAAAGTAGAAATAGAGCTAGTATTTTTAAAAATGAAGAGATTATATCTTAATTAAGTGATAGAGACATACAAAGTATTACTTTCATGAGGCTCTCGCTAATCAATACTCTACTGTATAACATCATACCCTAATAAAAGGTCTAACATGACTACATGAGTTTAAATAATTTTGGCTCATCCCCAAGATCCCAACACAACACAGAAAAACTTGTATGAACCTGGTTTACAATAATATTATTGTGGATCCGAAGGTTCAACATGTGCGTAACTGGTCTCGTATTGAACATAGTGACCCTAATATTGAACATAGTGACCCTAATATTAAATATAGTAACCTTAATTTTAACATAATAACCTTTAATAAAATTTGTGTGATTTTTTAATATTGTTGCGAACCTGAAGTATGATGTTATGATCCTAATTTTTAACCTAGTGATCTATATTAATCATATTGACCAGGATTTTAAAAATTTTCATTTAAAAAAATTTATCTCTTATGACCTTTATAAAAACAATCACTTTTATTTTAACATAATGATCATTATTTTAACATAGTGACCTTTTTTTTAAATTAATAAAATGACCGTATTATCTCTATTTTAAGTGGTCCACAAATAAATTAGTGTGAACCAGTTTCTATTTAAGAGTTTGTAAATACCACAACTTCACCCAATTGAGTCAACAACTTCACCCAATAAAATCTCTACAATCATACGGACAAAGATACGAATAAAATATTACTTTGTATACCGCTATATACAATACTTCGTATACCACTATGTAACAACATTACAAAGGCCCTCTCCAAAATTTTCTTACATTTATTTTTTAAAAAATTTGATATTTGCTACCAGCAAAAACATCTTGTGTCACATTTGCTACCCATTTAATTTTTTATTTTACTTTACTACCACCCAAATCCCAAAATTATAAGTATCATTACCAGTTGCCTTATGTCATTACGGTTTCCATTAGTGGGCCCAGCCATTGTTCAGCCACCTCACTACTAACCAAGCCACCTCACTACCACTGTCCAACCTCCCTGTCCCTATCAACTCTGCCCCAATACCTCACTGCCACCCTCTCCCTTCCGCCGACGACCGGCCAGCCCCTTCTCGTTACCGGAGCTAAGCCTCTTCTTGCTGGCGACTACCACTGCTACATCATCAACCCCTCACTCCTGTTTGTTTTCTTTGGCTGCTTTCAATCGCTTCTTCTTCATTATCCACCATCAACTGAAATCATCGGCTTCAAACGCTTCACATTCAATCATCATCAAATCGCAGTCATTGATTCGATTCAATGCATCTTAGCCACCAAATTTCATTATTTTCGCTCTAGAGTCTATGATATTTTCGCTGAATTGGGGCGTAAATTGCCAATTACGGGGCTCCAAATGCTAAAATTGCGGGCTGAATTAGAGCTTCTTACAAGCTACTTTTTGTTCGATTGGGCTGTCGGCTTCCATTGATGGTGGTGCGAGGCTGGTGGTGGAGCGCGCTTCTTGCGGTTGTGCTGCAGGCGGTAGTGTTGGTTCAGGCGGTGCTCGCTGCAGTGTTTTTTGGGGGGGGTGAAGTGTAGGATGAGCTTGGTGATGTTGGACAGAGTAAAGGAGATGCGGTGGTTCGGTGCTGTGGGTGCGCTGGTGGCAATTGCGGCTCGATGTGATATTAGTGATGATGTAAATGGTGGTGGTGATGGAGGAGGGGTTAGGCAGGGGTTTGTGGTGTTTGCATGAGGAAATGGAAGCAAGGGAGTGTTAGTGAGCGGTTAGTATGGTGTAGGTTAATGAATTGGTGTGGTGATTGATAAATTAGGCCCCACTTAACGGCAAAATTGACATAAACCGTTACCTGGTAGTGAAATATGTAGTTAGGGGATTTGAGTGGTAGTAAAGTAAAATAAATAATTAAACGGGTATCATATGTGACACAAGGTGCTTTCGCTGGTAGCAAAGTCAAAATTTCCTTGTTTTTTACTTGTATTTTTCTTCTTGTTAAAAAGATCGACATTCATGGTTTAAGAACAATATAAGAAAATTATTAATTTGTTTTGTTTTAAGTATTTTGATTATGATTTTATAGATATTAAGGGCCTGCTCTGATTTACTAAACTACACAAAACTGATTGGAGCTGTACTGAAATGAACTGAAATGAGTTGAATAGAGCTGAAATGAATTGTTAATGAGAGAAGGAAATTAGGAATTGAACTGAACCAAACTGATCTAAGCTAATTGGAGCTAAACTAAACTAAACTAAATTGAAATTAAGCTAAAGAGAACATGCCCTAAATACTATTACTTATTTAGTCTTATGAAAATTATTTTGTTAATAAATCTATGAATCTAATCATACTTTTTAGGTTTTGATGTCCATGCCAATTTTTTTGAAATATATTTTGTTACTCCCTTCGTGTTTTTTTTAAGTGTTACATTTTAACTGACACATAGTTTTAGGCAATTTTATTGACTTAAATAAAATAAGAGGTAAGTGGGTAGTTGGAGTATTAAAAAATTATAAAGAAAGATAGTGGGGTTAATAGTTTATTTGAAAAAAGTAATGAATGTGAGAGGAAAGATATAATAAAAAAAAAAAAGTAGTAGTAGGTTTGAGTGGGGGCCATGAGAGGAGAGAGATATAATATTTTTTTTTTTCACTTGACGGCAATTTGAGACTTGGGAAATAAATTAAGGTTATATAAAGGTTTCCTTGAGTTATAAAAGGACCCTACAATTAATCAATTAGTTCACACTTTATTAATTCATTAAATAGGATTACATTAAATACTCCTTATATTAATATTTCGTTCTGATGTAGGTCTAAGTGGACCGAATCACGTAAATTCATGTGCTCTTTGTTCATATTTATTATTGTTTTCTCCTATTTTTTATTCACTTGTTTTGCATTAATCTGACACAAGTACACACTTATTTCCTTACAATATCAATTGTTACCATTAAGTTAGTAGTAACTTAAGATCATATGATCACATTGTGTTTTCGAAATTTATCTATGTAGTAGTTTACTTATTTAAGTTTGACTTGTCCAGCTCTCATTTTAAAGTGGTTATTTAGGATAACTCTAATGATTTGGATTTAATCAAGTAGTTATATTACAATAATTAAATACAGATAAGAAAATCGGTAGAGGAAAGCTGTTGTAACATAAAAGATGTTTATGAAGAATTAAAATCGAATTATTTAGTCCTTAACAACAATCTTACTAATGTAATGTTCCTTTTCCAAATCAAATACACAAAACTGACAATTAATCGTCATAACGAAGAATTTAAAATCTAGGTAGACTACCTAAACTCAAGCAAACATATATACTTAACTAAGATTTAAAGTGTCTCTAAGTCACATTTAGTACACTAACATAAAAGAGTATCATCGAATATTTTTATACTAAACTACTAAAGATAGAGTTAATTTGATCTCAGAATTTGGCACACCAAGAACATAATGACAGCTTCCAGTTGCCTCTTCTTCGATTATCCTCAGACCTTCCATGCTGCGACTGCTGTTGCTCTGCATCCTCGTGTGATGGCTTCTATTTGAGGAAGTTCTAGGTGTAGCATCATTCGGTCGTCTCTCATTTCCACTTGGAGGAGCATAATTTGATTTCTCATGTGCTCTTGGAGCATCATCACTAAACGTTTCCTCGGAAAATAAATCCTGCAGACACCAATCTTCCACAGCAACAGTTGAAGGTGTGTTACTGTCACAATGTTCATACGGAAATTCTTATGAGTTGTTCCATATTCTTAGAAACCAGCGCGATTACTTTAGCAGACGAGTCAATTTCTCGTCGAATGTTCTCCATGATATCAGGAATTGTATCAACTCCGAGCAAGAACTCAAAACTTATCATTCTAACCATATCAAGGCCATCAATAATAATCCTCAAAGTAATAGATATCGATACATCCTCTGACATTTTCCCCTGTAACCAGAATTTCTTATATCCGCTGTCAAATTCCATCAGTACTTCTGTAGGCTGCAGTAGTAGTCCAGCCACCTGATCTTGCACAGATTCATTCAGAGACAGACTACCAGCACAAGTACTTGCAGTCGATGTGTCAGCAACATCGACTGCAAGCAATGGGTCATTCAGAAGGTCCAATGCTGATGGTCTAACAATATCAGGTGCAAAGTCAATACACTTATCAATCAACTGCTTCATTTGAGGATCAGTCACACTGAGTAACCCAACAGGCTTGAAACCGATGTCAACCAGATCATTGTCGCTGCTGAGTTCTGTGATTTGTACTTCCTTATTCATCATCTGCGTTAAGCTAGTCCCAAACGAAAATATATCAGTCTGAAACGCTGGTGTACTCCCTGATTCAAAAATCTTTGCAATTCCCAAGTCTCCTAGTTTAATCGTGCTCGTGTTACCTTTAACAAATATGTTACTACACTTAATATCACGGTGAGTAATAGGCGGATTATGAGTATGAAGATAATGTAACGCACTTAAAATCTGTCTACACCAAATCTTGATCGCCATATTACCCACAAGAGCAGGTACATGTTCCCTGCTATAGTCTGTCAGATTTCCTGAAGAACAAAACTCAGTAATCATGTGGACGACTTTCTGGTCATCATCAATCCAATAATGATAACATTTCGTAATGTTTTCGTGGTCTAGAGACCTCAATAATTCAGGTTCGGCACATAATTCCTCAAGATTTTCCCTAGACGCTTCTTTTCCTGGTAGTAATCTCACCTTACTCCAAGCTATTTCAGTACCATAACGCCTATCCAATCCCCTGTAAACTTTTTTTGACGAGCCTTCTCCTATGAATATTTCGTACCTTGCGAATCGCGTTGTTGGGTCTGTCTCCCTAACCGTATAATCGTTAGCTTGTGAACTCGAAGCAGCCATTACTAACCCAGTTGTAATTAGAAACAACAGAACAGTAAACAGAACAACCGAAAGAATATTTTTGATTAATTTTATGGATATAATTGAAAGGATAATTTTGAAGGAGAAACAAAATAATAGAAATGGATTGATAAAATATTTATAGTGGAAATCAGTTAAGTCGGTTATCAAGTTCAAGAAACTTGAAATGGGGTTTCTTGATTTTTTTTAATTTTATTTATTTATATAAAATAGTTTGGAAAATACAGTAAAAAGAGTTGTGGGAGTTAGTTACATGTCAGCCGGGAATATAGGGAAGTTATTTAAATCAGGCAGTTAGATCAAGAAACATAAAATGGGTTTTCTTGATTTTTTTTATTTTTTATTTATTATTTATTTATTTTTTAATATAGATTTCTTTACTTCCTCTTTTTATTATAAGAAAATTATTATTTTTTCGATAAATACTTAAGAAAATTAATATAGTGAAGTGTAACTTGCTCTCAACTTAATTGTTTCAAAGGGAAAAAAAATAAACAAAAAACTAGCTCTGGACTTTATAACAGTATAAAATGTCTACACAGATTTAGTAGCAATAATAATGTGGTACATTCCCATGATTTCATAATTAGAATTTAAAATTAAATTATGATAATAGTATTTAACTCTTTATTAATCAATATTAACTCTTTATTGGTCATTTCTTACTTTTTAGGTCAGAGAGAATGTTGTTTAGAAATTTGGTATTAAGGTGCATATACTAATCTCCCTAAAAATATAAGTATCTTAACATTAAAAACAATATAGTACTAGGGATTATTACGGCTAGTGCTATAAGACATCAACTGTACACCAAACTTTAGTAATAAATGAGTGACAAATTAATCAAATTAATTAATCAAAAAAAAATATTAACACTTCAGTCCAAAATTAATTAGTATTATTAAATATTAATAAGTTTAAATTCAAACTTAAACTCAGGATTAAGTGAACTTTGCTTTTATATAGGGGTGTGCTAAAATCAATTAAGGGTGTGCTAAAATCATTTCCCAAAAATCACATTCTCCGTAGTACTCACTACTAAAGTAGTGAAACTAATCGTATTTGTAAAAACAAAACACTTCATTTCTGTTACAAAGAAATTTATTAATGTGAAAATCAAGAAATGCTATTTTTGTTTCTTGATTACCGACTTCATCCCAATTGTTATAAACAGATAGATTTTTTTGTTTTTTGGGTGCGATTATAATAGATAGATGTAAAACCATAATTCTCATTTGTATTGTCACATTCCACCATACTTTCTTCCACAAAAATAAAATCTTACGTTACTCTCTTGAATACAAATCATCCTTGTTTACTTTCAATTTCTTTTTTCTATCTCTATTTGAGTTCACTTTCAATTTCGTCTTGTTCTATCTCTATTAGGTTTCGTCACACATGGCTTCAACTTCACAGGGAGGAAACAATAATGAAGACATCGAGACAGATTCGAGTGGTCGATACGAAAGGTACAATGAGATCATTGGAACAGGCAAAACGAAAACAGTTTACAAGGGCTACGATAAAGAAGCTGGTACTGAAATCGCTTGGTCTAAAATACATATAACAGAGGATTTAGAAAAGAACGAGGGATTTCTTAAGCTTTTATTGCAGAAGGTGATCTGATGAAGTCTTTAGATCATGAAAACATAGTTAAATGCTATGAATCTTGGGTTGACAACGAAGAGAAAACCATTCACATGATTACTGAATACTTTCCTTCAGGAAATTTACTGCAGTATCTCAGAAAACATAAGTCTGAAGACAATAATGCAGAAATCAAGAACTGGTGTCGACAAATTCTGGATGCGATTGCTTATCTTCACAGTCAAACTCCGCCGATTGTTCACCGTGACATTAAGGCAGAAAACATCTTTATCAATGAGGAGACAGGAAGTGTTAAACTCGCAGACTTTGGTTTCGCGCTGAGGCTTGAGCAGGAGACCTGTAACAGGAAATATGGTACGCCTCGTTACATGGCACCAGAGGTTCATAAAGGAAAGGATTATAATCAGTTGGCTGACATATACTCTTTCGGGTTGTGCGTACTAGAGATCCTCACTGGTGAACAGCCTTACAGCGAATGCAGTTCAAAAGTCGAGTTTTTATTACTGGTTGCAGACGGTGTTAAGCCTCCAGAACTCAGAAAAGTGAAAGATAATGATGCTTATGATTTCATTTATAGGTGTCTGGCTCCTGCATCTGAAAGACCCTCTGCAATTGAACTCTTGAATGACCCGTTTGTTGCACCGAGTTTTTCGAGCATCCTATCAGCAAGATTTCTGAGTCTGGTGCAGAGGGTATGTTCTTGCATTTTCTGAAAACTGCTCCATATGATCGATTTACCTGGTGATTAGCTACTCGATTACCTGCTATTAGTCAGTTCTTTTATCTTTCTTTCTAGATACAGTCTATTTTAGAGTATAGATGCATTTCATACTTTGGTTCCTCTTCTAATTCTGTTCACTATTGCATTGTAATAGGGTGTCAGGTGTGTTATTAGATAAACTAAGTTTGTAATCAAAATTGCAATTTGTTAATAATAATTCTGTTTTTGTTTTTTTAAGTTTAGTCCCACCCCCCTAATAAATTAACCAAATGATAAGCAAGCCATAATGTAAAGTAATTAAAGCATTAATAACTCGAGGCAAATAGATTTAGCAAGCAAGAAAATGTGCAAAGCAAGAACATAATTAAAACACTTTATCGAAACCAATTGTTGCTTAAACAAGTTTATCACTCTCATTTCATGGATTATAGTGAAAAAGTCAATATTCTCTAACTAATTTTTTTATTGAGGATATATAATCTGTAAAATTATGTACGGAAATGTCAAATAAGTGCACACATAGAATTATCTAGGTTTATATTGTTAATTTTGCTATTTGAATGAGAATGCTTTAGTTTAGTAGAATTACACAATAAATCATGGTATTAAATGTAGAATTATTTGAATGAGAATGCTCTAGTTTAGTAGAATTACACAATAAATCATGGTATTAAATGTAGAATTATTTGAATGAGAATGCTCTAGTTTAGTAGAATTACACAATAAATCATGGTATTAAATGTAGAATTTAACAATAAACTGTAGTTTTAAAATCATTGTGTCGATCTTGGCATGTTACACAATAAAATTCTCTTAGACTATTAATTAAAAAATGGACATATGTGACCCTCTTACGCATTGCTTAATGCTTACTCGAAATTTAGGGGGGGGGGGGGAAGATATGAAATATACCTAAAAGATGGATAGTTTTGTTATTGTTGCCAATAAAACAATGAAATGTACACCATTCCTTGTACAGTATAAATCAGTGTCGTTAATTCAATTGACCATAGTTTTTTTTAGATCATTTCTTAAAAATAAAGGGTTGAGTTTCAATATTGTTATAATGACCACAATTTTTTAGTTACCATTGAATATTCTTCGGATGATAAAGGGATGATTTTGTAGACTAAAACAAGATGATTCATGGATTAAAATGACTTGCGGCAGAGATTTGTTACTTTCAATTACTTAAGTTAGTTTATCAAGATGAATTCGGGCCTGTTCCGATTGACTGAACTCATCTGAACTGAAATGAACTGAACTGAACTGAACTGAACTGAGCTGAGCTGAACTAAACTAAACTGAACTGAACTGAACTGAACTTATTAATTAGTGATTTTTAACTACGGATTAGTGATCTTTGATTATTTATGATTATTATTATTACTATACATATGTGTATATACAAATGTACATATTAAAATATTTACGAAAAATATACCATATAATTATAATTATAAAATGTATGGAAAATATATTAAAAACTTGAAACCTCTAAACATTTTAAACACATATACTATTTAATTTAAAAATAAAATAGTATTAGGACAAAAGAACACAAAACACTTACATGTATCTAACCCATTTAAACAAATTTAAAAAAAAGTAATATATATATAAAAAAAAAAAAAAAAGAACCAACAAGAAAAGCTAGAATTTGCTACGGCCCAACACCCTAACCCACTCTCTTTTCCTTTAATTAATAACAAATCTTACAAATAAAGAATTAAAGATGCTCTAACCCCAAATAAAGAGAAATATGTATCAAAAAAATAGAACCATTAGAACAATGAATTGTATCAATATTATAATTGTTATTATTATTATTATTATTATTATTATTATTATTATTATTATTATTATTATTAATTATTGATTATTATTATTATTATTGTTATTGTTATTGTTATTGTTATTGTTATTATTATTATTATTATTATTATTATTATTATTATTATTTATTGATGATTATTATTATTATTTATTGATTATATTATCAGTATTATTATTTCAATTATTATTGTAATTATGATTATTATTATTATTATTATTATTATTATTATTATTTATTGATGATTATTATTATTATTATTATTGTAATTATGATTATTATTATTATTATTATTATTATTATTATTATTATATTATTTATTGATGATTATTATTATTATTTTTATTGATTATATTATTAGTATTATTATTCAATTATTATTGTAATTATTATTATTATTATTGTTGTTGTTGTTAATAATAATAATAATATTATTATTGTTGTTAATAATAATAATAATATTATTATTGTTGTTGTTGTTGTTGTTGTTGTTGTTGTTGTTGTTGTTGTTGTTGTTGTTTATTATTATTATTATTATTATTATTATTATTATTATTATTATTATTATTATTATTATTATTATTTGTTTTTTGTTGTTGTTGTCGTTGTAATAAGAGTTTAAAAGAATGAAATTTGGCTTTATATCATTAGCAATATTATTAGACATAAATTAAGAGCTGAGCTGAACTGAACTAAACTGAAATGAACTGAATTTCAACGGAACAGAACAGGCCCGAAGAAACTTAAATGCCATTTTATATATATATATATATATATATATATATATATATATATATATATATTATTTTCCTTTCT